GCTTGCCTACATAAGTTTGCCTGTGCCACTACCTCTTTGCTGGCATAAACAGCCCTCTGCCGCTGGCTCTTTGCTGGCAAAGTTATGTAGGCAAGCCCTGTGCCCCGCCAGTGCAGACTATGCTGGAAATTGCCTGACCGGCTCCAACGGGGCTTCTCCAGATTGTGGCTGCAGTCACTGGCACCACGGACGTTCCCCCTACCCCAGAACCTTTCTCCCCCCCGTAAGGCAAACCCTGAGATTTACAGTGAGGCTGGCAGCAGGAGAAGGATGAGCCACCATAGCCTCTGCAAAGAGGATTCCTCCCCAACCAGGACTTTTCTCCCTCCCTCATAAGGCAAACTTCAAGTTTTAGGTGAGGCTGGCAGGGGGAGGAGGAGGAGGAGCCACCGTTGTCTTTGCAAAGAGGATTCCCCCCCAACCAGGACTTTTCCCCCCCTCCCCCGTAAGGCAAACTTCAAGTTTTACGGTGAGGCTGGCAGCAGCAGGAGGATGAGCCACCATTGTCTTTGCAAAGAGGATTCCCCCCACCAAACCAGGACTCCCCCGACCTGTAAGGCAAACTTCAAGTTTTACGGTGAGGCTGGCAGGGGGAGGAGGAGGAGACACCATTGTCTCTGCAAAGAGGATTTCCCCCTCCAACCAGGACTTTTTCTCCCCCCACCCCCATAAGGCAAACTTCAAGTTTTACGGTGAGGCTGGCAGGGGGAGGAGGAGGAGCCGCCGTTTTTTGGATTTGGAGAAGAAAGGGTTTTCGGGCGACTGCGCTGAGATCCCCTCCCTGAAACAAAAAAGTGCAGTGTGTTTAGGCAGTTGATCTGGCCTTCTGCGGAGAAGGAGGAGGAAGGTGCGCAGTTCTGCAATGTGCACCGGAGAACCACAGAGGAAAGCATTTTCTGGCAAATCCAAAAACGGTGCACGCGGCTGGCCAGATGCCCTTCTTCTCCTTCTCCACAGACTCACCTTCTCTTTCCTCCTGGCCAGATCTGCCACCTGAAACACAATGCACTTTTTTGATTCGGGGAGAGGATCGCAGTGCTGCTGCCCGAAAACCCTTTCCTCTCCAAATCCAAAAATGGAGAGGCCAAAAAAGTGCATTGCATTTCAGGCCTGCTGCTGGCTGCTCCTGCCACTGAATGGAAAACGGTAGTGTGAGAAGCGCTGGCAGTAATGGGGTGGCAGCAGAAAGGATGGGTGTGCTGGGGCTTCAATCCTCCCCTCTCCCAGGCCTGGGGCCATGCCAGAAGCCTGCTCATGCGGGTAAACAGGGAAGTCCCTTGCAGCCACCACCCCTTTGCCCCTGGGGGAGGCAGTTCTCATGTTGCTGCAGGGGGCTTGCTGGGAAGCCCAGCACACAGTGGGGAGGAGCCCAGGCAAGGGCGCGTGTTCGGAGCTTTCCCAGCTTGCACATGGCGGGGATGAGAGCGCTGGCCGCGGGCCGGGAACGGCTGTGTCTCCAGGGAATAGTTCAGTATCTGGTTGTCCTTCGGTAAGAGGCGGCCGGCCCCCTTGGAAAAAGTGGAGGCGCATATGTGGGGTGCGTATGCATGCACAGCGTGCATGCGCGGGTAGGTCATATGTGCATGTGCGGGAGAGGGTCATGTGCGCATGCACAAATCAGATGTGTATTGCATTGTGGGTGCTGGCACGCGATAGCGTGAGGGCACTCGGACTTTTGGCATGCAACGCCAAAAAGATTCACCATCACTGCTCTATATGATAACGAACACAGCACTTTTCCATTATTTATTGATGTTGCCTGATAATTTCAGCTTAACAAAGATTCAACTTTGCATATTTTTTTCAGGCACACATGGAAAAAAAAGTTGAGCGGCTTTAATAAATGGTATTACAAGTGTGTTTGCAGAAGGTGCAACCTCCTTATTCCAAATCATTTTTGAAGCATATGAAGATCTTTATTGTCTACTGATACAATGTATCATTTTGAATTTTCTCACTTTAATGTTAAGATAGTGTCTATCTCTACTTAGCTACATATGTACTAGTACGCACAACACAAATATTATACATACAATAAAACGTAGCTTAACAGTTGGCCTTGTATAATGATTAAGAGAGGATTTTTTTTCCCTTGGGCATCTGTTAAGAAAAATATTTGTATGTTGTTTGTAGCTGTTCTGAATATTGAATAAGATTTAAATAATAAGCCTTGAATAGCCTGTATCTGTATATTTGAGATAACATGCAGGAAGACAACTATAAACTTTACATTGCGAATCCTGCTTCAAATGATAATGAGGATTTCTAAAATCTTTTGGAGGGTCATGATTTTTTTCCCTCCTACTGAGTATCTAGGAATATATATCCTAAAATTTCTATGCTTTATTCTCAATTGTCAAACATATCTTAAAATTATGTAATCAAATAACCTTTGGGGTATTATTCAGTAGGAGCTGAGACCAATAACTTGACCTATCCTGTCACCTGCCATGTCCCACTATTGGTCATATTGGGCAACTTAAAAACATGTGGACTTTCATCCTGGTTGAGAATTCTACACATCTTGTTGGAGTTTCCAAGATTAAGAAACACTGCTCTATTTTATGAATATAGGATTTTATTTTTTTCTAGGGATTGTCTAATGGCTTGGTTGGCCTCTTTGGTCAAATACAATGCACTCTTGATTTTGAAAGGTTTTTCCAGCTTTTTCTTTGTGCTTGTTTTGAATTGTCAGTTTCTCAGTCCTTTACAGCTGCTAGGAAAGAAATAAATGCATCCCTGATTCCTGCCTACTTTTACAAAATTAGATTGATCTCCAGTTGTTTTCCACAGCCATATGGGTTCCTCCCCCTGAATTTCTGACTGGGAGCTAGAAACATCTTGTGACAATTTCATGGAAAGGAAGTAGTCAGTTACATTTGGTGAAGCTGAAATGTTATTTAAAAACAAAACAAAACAAAACAATAAAGGATATTTCAGCAGAAAAATGATCTAAATTTCTTCAGCGATGCACAACATGTTCTTGAGAAAATATTACTGTTGGGTTGATGAAACAGACATCAGTGCCTACTTTCTCTATATGTGAGTGTATTTATATGTGCACATGTTCTGAAAATTCACTTGCATATATAAATCTATTTTTATGTAGGTTTACAAAAAAAGCTTGGAATTTATTTCATGTATCAGTGCTACAGTTGTTGTAAATGTGCTCTTTATGTGAACTATGCCAGATGTCACATGAGGGTTGCAACATCTGCCTTATCAGGTCTGCAAGAATAGCACTATAATGCATCACAGAAGAAAAAAAAATCCCGCTTTGAACTTGAAAGCATGCATAAGGAGTACAGTGAGGAAATAAATATGTTTCCTAACTGCGCTGTAATCTGGATCTCATTCTCTCTTGGATTCTCTTTAAGGGTAACCCACCTGATGTCGAGCAACTGGCATATGGAATGTTTTACAGATGGTCCAGCATCAGTGACTCATGTAGCTGTAGATGATTATCTGTCACACAGATGTTTTAGCTTGTATTTTTCAACTGACCAGTCAGCGGCAACCATTTCTGGTGGCTCAGCAACAGATGTTTCAAATGTCTGAATATCTTGTCCATTCTGAAGATAAGCAGCTAGTTTCTTTACATACCTGATCCATTTCAGTAGTTTTGGAGGCAATTGGAGAATGTGTGTTTCCTTGTATAGCTTTTATCTTGAATTTTATCATCACACTGGAAAAGATCAATATGCTGCTATTCCTTGCTCTTACCCAAATGTGCTGTTGTTTTCAGAAGCAAATCTGGGGTCCCAATTGAAATTATTACCAGTCTTTTAATTTTCTTCTTGCATTTTCTTCATTTATTCAATCATATATAATTGCAACTAGTAAACATAAATATCAACAGCCCAAGACTGTCAACTTTGTAAAGAGCTCACTTATAATGAAAAAAAGAATTTAAAAAAGCCAATGTCAGTTTGTTATCATTTAAGAAATGACAGTGATGCAATCTGAAAACTATGGGAGTGTTCTGATAACTTTATGATAAAGTTAATGGAACATTTATATAAATATTGCTAACTAGTAGGAAGTTAAATAGAAAAATAATTATCTGTTTTCTCCTTCAGAGTTGTTACAAAAGGTGTTGAAATTTATCTAACATGTTAATCAAACACACACTAATTAATCCTTTTTCATTATTCCCGATGTTGTCTCTACACATTTGTTTGTAAAGACAGAAGATCAAAAAACTCTACACTGTATTTTAAAGCTACTATATTTATTATAAACCATCCAATAAATATAGTACATTTAAAATAAAATTAATATTTAGAATTTGAAAACACAACTACTAAGCTTATTTTACTCTAAATCATAGTTTGACTACGACCAAGCAAAACAAACCTTGTGACAGAGGGTAGAGGACATCAAGAAGCAAGCAGATTTAGGGAAAGTTCTGTTGTTTCTGGCTCCAGACTCTATTAGATATGTTGTTACTCCTGCTAGTTATCTTAGCCAGTTGGAGATGGCAAACCACCAGAAAGCATTTTTACCTGGACGTCTCTGCGCATGTGCAGAAACGTTGCGTGCACCCATGAGCAAGCCAGTAGTGAATGAAATTGAAAATATAATTGGGTATATATTGTAATGAATTTCTCACATATACTGTGTTTCCCCGAAAATAAGACCCTGTCTTATATTTTTTTGAACCCTAAAATAAGCGCTTGGCCTTATTGCCATGTGCTCAAAAGCCCGATTGGGCTTATTATCAGGGGATGGCTTGTTTTGGGGGAAACAGGGTACATTATTGTACAGTTTTTTCTAGTAGTTTTTTCAATGCAACAATTGCAAAATGTGTATTTTGCTGTAATATACAAGTTTCAGTTTTATTGTCCACTCCACTTTATATTTGAGAGATCTAAAGTGGTTTATTTTTATGAAATTATTGTGCTACAAATTGCTCATCTAATTCCATTGTAAAAAATTGAGCCAAGTGGCTTTTCATCTTTATATTTCTCTGTTTAACCAATTCCTGTTCTGTATTTCAGATGCTTTCTAAGTCCATAGAACAATTAAAACAACCTGGCAGTTTGGAAGAAGCTGAAGAAGAACTTCAAGGAGAGCATTTGATGCAGGAAAAAGGAGCTGTCCCTGTTGGTGTCAGCATTAGGGATGACAGCAGTAGCATTTCTTTGCACAACTTGGGACAACCTTTTGGAGCTGTGAAGGTGAAAGAGGAACCAAAGGACAGTGATGATGATATTCAAAATCAGCAAATGGAATCTGGGGAGCATTCTGCTTTTATGCAACAGGTAATAGGCACAGATTTAGCTCCAGATTTTATCATTAAAGTGATTATTTGAGTACAATTATGTTAACATTTTAAAATTCCTGATAAAGAGAATGTTTATTATTTTTTCCATCCTCAGAATCCCCAAGAGTTATGCAATTTAACATTCAGCATAATTAAGAACATAGATGTGCCCATACTTTAAGTATAGCGAAAAGGTGCTTGTTAAATTAAATAATTCTTGCGGTTGTATATACACCTTTTAGTAATCAGTAGAAGTCATATTAGTTATAGTGGATTCTGCCTCATTAGATCTAGCAGAAAGGAACTCATTGTTGTATAAATTTTCTGTGGAGATCAGTGACTACTGACCAAACCTGAGATTTGTGCTTTTTATACTCACTCTTGCCTATCTCTAAGCCTTTTTTGATATTGCCTAATGTACAATTTATTCACTTTGTATATGTACAATAGTAGTCCTACACACTGTTAAAGGGAGAGAAATCTGTTACACAGATACTGGTCCAAATACCAGTGATCTGAGCTTTGTATATAATATGAGGGAACCAATGTAGAAAACTAATACAAGAAAACTGAATGTACTTTTTAAAATGAATTTTTTTCCTCTCCATTTTCATTAACTTTATGTGAATTTTTTTTTAAAAGCATTCTTTTCTCTATTCCATTTGAAGGTATTTGTAGCAAGGAACCTAACTTTTAAGTTATTAGATCTTTTCTTGTTAGTTGACTTGTTCTCAAGTGACAGCACAGCACACACTGTAGCAGAAAAGTTTACATACTAATGACAGTGTCAGTATGCCACTTTGTTCTTTGTTTAAAAGGCAACAACCATTCATTACACAGAATATCAGTCCCTGAAAAAAACTGGGGACATTCTGCAAAGCATAGATGCATCTGTGATTATTCAGATTTCTAGTCATATGTGAACTATAAAATATGATAAAACAGCAATATCATTGGGAGTTTTTTTCTTAAGAACTATGAATAAAAGCACATAATATTTAAATACAAACACTAATATGCCAAAAATATTTTCCCCCCTAAGGCATGCATGCATTTGTAGGTAATTGTGCCTCCAAAAGGATTGTGATCCTTTCAAATGCTATATCATTGAGATAATTTGATATGTAGTACAAACAGTTGTTGACTTAACTCAGCTATATCAGTCACTTCTTTTTTCCTGAAGAATAATAATGGTGTGGAGGTAGACAGAAGTGCCTTGTGGAAACAGGAAGTCCAAGTAATTCATGCACTTGGAATGTAAGAACAGAGCAAAGAGAAGCAGAGGCTAGTGTTTTATTCTCTGTTTTGTAAAGGCACTCTGTAAGTTGATTTATGTTAAGAGAAAATAGCATGGTGAATAGGGAAATTGTTAAGGAAGTTTTCCAGTGAAACATTTCCTTTTCTATTTCCTTTTGATATGTTTACTCTGTTGTAGTTTACTTCTGTTTAGCTAAAGATTCATTGTATTAACATCCTCTTATGCATAGTTCAGGACTGACCTGGAGTGAATTTTGAATTTTATGTTATATTGTTTATATTTTAAGGTATTTTAAGATTCAGTATAGTTTTTAACAAGGGTATTTTGCCAAATGAAGAATGTTTTTCCAATATAAGCTTGTAGTATTTACATTTTAACCTTATTTTTAAAAAAACCATTATAAAATTTTGCAATGTGTACAGACTAACATTTTTCATGTGAGTGTGCATATATAAATGTATATGCCTATACACATAAGATAGACAGGCAAATACAATGTGTTTATAATTGATTATTTTCCTACAGTGGATAAAATTCATAGCATAAGATTTATATGCATCCAGGTTATTTCTTATCACAAATGTAGATATTTACCTAATTTATCATATGTAAGCACAGCAAAAAATCTGTGAAACAATTCTAAATTCTAAACTATATACCTATACCACAACTGTTGCCTTTTCCAGTGACATATATTGGTTTATTATTTTCTTTAGACTTTGGATTGTTTATTTGGTGCTATTCCCCCCACTTCTCAATATGTGTATCTGGCTTCCCACAAGCAGTTTCATTTACTAAATCTAAAACAGAAAACTCCACTATTCAGGTGGAGGTCCTCCATCATTCAACCTCCACCATTCAATTTCTTAAATATGTGCTACAGGAGGAGGAGAGGATAGAAGCTGTTAATTCATTGTTGAACTTTGGGAACAGATTTTTTTTTCCAGTAGAGACCAGCTACAGTATTTCCATCAATATTATGTACAGATAGACCATTATGAAATTTTAGAATATAATACATCTTTGGAAGCTATTATTTCTTGAACAGAAATCCTCAAGTAGGCATATAATATGTATAATGTTATATGTTAATAACATAAAGAAGGCATATAAAGTATATTCTGATCCTACATATTTTTGTTTCTTTCTTATAGTCTTTTAGCTCAGAGAGGCAGAAAAACTGCATTTTTGAACTATATTTTATTTGGCTAAGAACCTGAACATAGGTTTTCTATAAAATGTTTCAAAAATACATGTAACTAGAAAGAAAGAAATGTATTTTTATAATGCAGTTGAGAAAACTTATCCCATTCTAGCCAATGAATTTCTATGCCATTTAATTTTTTCAGAAATTACCTGAAACCAGTGAAAAGGGAAAACTGAGTTTAAGAAATTTTATTTTTTATTGCCACATTTAAAATATATTGTACTTATTATAATTTACACTTTTGGTGATTTCTTGTTCATGTTGTAAAATATTTTGTTTGTATGTTCCTTATTTTGCCTAATATAAATTTATATATTCCTTTCATAAATAAAGATTTTTTTTCTCAAATGATTTCCTTTCACCTACTTGACTTTGTGTAAATTTGATTAATTCTTAAAGTTAATTCTTTTTATTTGATATTGGCAATACATTTGCTTATTACTGTTCAAACAATGGATTTAGAACCATGATTTTATTCTCCAGTTTAAATTACACAAAGTCTATTTTTGGTTTGTTATGTGATCCCACATTAACCATCGCACATTGTAAAAAATATGGAAAAATTATTTGTTTATGTTCATTTTATCCTCATCACATTTGTCTTAATTTGTGGATTAACCATTTTATCATCTTGAAAAATGTAGTATAAGTAAACACCAGTTTTCCCGAATTTTGATTCTAGTCATTCAAAGTTTTGACCCATGGATATGGTTTGACTCCAAATGTTTTAAAAATTAGTATGGAAGTGATTTATTTGGTCTTGAAATATTACAGAATTGATGGTAATCCTGAGGAATTTGCAGTTAACAAATACAAGGTGACAATATTAACCTTATTTTAAAAAAATCACACATTAACAACTAACACCTCCAGTATAGCATAAATTGGTAATATTTCAACTTCATTCAAATCAATAGAAATAGTTAGTCATGACCAGGTCTTATTTACCCAGATAATTACACTACAATGAACATTTCCACTGGAACTGCCAATAGAATGAAATAGTTAATGTATATATATACCTGCAGACACAATACATGGAGTCATCACCTATCAAAATTGGAAGTAGAATTTCCATTGCAAAGTAAGGCAGTTAAATGAATCATGTCTACTTTTATGGACTTTTTTGTCATAGTTATTAAATGAATCACTGCAGTTGTTAAGTGCATTATCAAGTCATTAAACAACCTGGGATTCCCCATTTGACTTTGCTTGTTGAAATCTATCTAGGAAAGTCACATTCTGGATTTTGTTTTGATTTTTCTCTGCCTGTATACTCTGTCCACATACATACATACACATGCACACACTTCCTTTTTCTATTATTGGTGTATCATACGTACAAAGGAAGACAACAATTAGAAGTAACTCTAAGCATTTCAGGTATGAATAAAATTGAGGCTTGGAACAGAGGTGGGTTTCAGCAGGTTCTGACCAGTTCTGGAGAACCAGTAGCAGAAATTTTGAATAGTTTGGAGAACCAGTAGTAAAAATTCTGACTGGCCTCACCCCCATCTATTCTCTGCCTCCCAAGTCCCAGCTGATCAGAAGTAAATGGGAATTTTGCAGTAACCTTCCCCTGGAGTGGGGTGGGAATGGAGATTTTACAGTATGTTTCCCCTACCATGCCCACAAAGCCACACCCACAAAGCCATACCACGCCCACAAAGCCACAGTACCGGTAGTAAAAAAGTTTGGATTTCACCACTGCTTGAAGGTCAAAGGTGTTTCCTTCACCCAGGAATACAAACATAATCCCTGTTCACAATTCCTGAAAATTTCTCTGTCTTGTCCTGGAATTATGTATCAATTCTTTATGTCTGTCCTGGATCCAAGGAAAAAGGCATACTTAATTTAAAATAATGCAAAAGAGTTGTGTTTGAACACACAGCAAAACACCTATTCTAATGGTAGAACTAATATCTAATAGTTCTATTATTAGTCGTCATGAAAATATATAATCTGAACAAAATGGTAGTGGGGGAGGGGGAAATCACTAATGCATGTGGAGGAAAATAGCAATAATAATGCTGAACTAATTATTTTGACAAAATTCAGGAAATATTTCCTATATGCCTATACATATTCCATGGATTATATGAATAAGCATATGCGATAGACATGTGTATGGAATAAGAACTCTGTTACAAGATTAGAATATGAACCAATACGCATCTTCAGAATATACATAACCAAAAGTTCTACAGAGGAGAGAAACAACTCATTCCAACTTTGGCAAGTTTTCTTCCTTTCACATAGCTGCTGGGAGCAAACATTCTGAATATCAAGAAAGGAAATGAAATCTTTGAATGTTAAATCAGATATATGGTTCTTGTTGATTCACATTATTGCTGCAGCAAGATTAGCGTATGCGCAGGAGTGGAAAAATCAATACTTACGGATAGATTTGAAAATAATATATAAAATTAATGAGTGTGCGGAATCAGATAGACTAACTAGATTGATCAATGGTAAAAAAGATTCAGAATTTTATAACAGTTGGAAAGTATGGTACGATTGGGTCCAGAAAAGGTGGGATAGAATAGATATATGATGATGTATATATATATGGTGGCAAATATGTATATATAAAGGAATGATTTTATACTTATGGACAATGTAATCATATTATACCATGGTGGCAGGATTGTATATTTTATTTGTGTATTAGTGTATAGAATATATTAATAAAAGTTATATATATATAAAAAAAAAGGAAATGAAAGGACATTTCAGAGAATAGAAATGGTTTTCGCCTGAAACTTGACATAGGTGGAGGACACACATTCAGGGCGCGTATACAGTACTTTCCAGATATAACGGGACAATGCCATTCCACAGACCAGGATTAATTTTATTATTTCACCCATTCTTCTGTATCAAACAACTTTGTCTTATATGAATATTACAAATTTCATTTATATAGTGGCAATGTAAAATGGAACCAACCACAGGTGTAATAGCACCACCCATAATTCTTCAGAAATCATATAAAGCTATGGATAGAAATTTGTGTAGCTTTCATTTTTAAAATGTAAAGCTTTCTTCACTGTGTTTTAAGGCATACATCTGAAAGATTTCAATGAAATTCAAGAGTGAAAAGATTCGTTTGAAATTTCACTGAAACCAAAAATCTTAATCTCATGTGAACTGCATCACTGAATGGCTGACCTTAAACATGTTTCTGGGCTAAAAGTGCCCAGTACACAGTTCATGTATCACTGGCATAGCCAACAATATTTATTTTTAGAATAAAAATAAATATTGCCAACATTTTCATCTATGTGCACCTATTTGTTGCTGAATGATGTGAAAGTATTTGTAAGTGCTTCAATAAAAGAATTACTGGGCAAATAAATGTTATAGAGAGACAAGCTATTTTTTAATTCAAAATGTATCCCTGTTTATATTAAAACTTTACTTATTTGAAAAATGTTCTTCCCGCTATATTACTCTTTTAAATATTGCCTTACCACTGTGATCAACAAGGATAAAGAGTGCCTTACAAATAGAAATTTTGGCTGATGCGGCCTCAAAATTTACCAGTGATCTAATCTGGCACTCTCGTGAATTCAGCTATATTATTTACCAGCACACATGCGAATTGGGTTTTAAAAAATATTTTATTGCCAAGCAAATCTAACAGTGACAAATTATTTCAGCCTGCTGTTGGCAGTGTCACTGGAAATATCCAAAAGTGCTGATAAATATATTGTATGGCTGAGGGCTAACCTACTCATCAAGAATTTGTATAGTATGGTCCTTCTGAAAAGCTACTGCCTCAGATTACAATTGAGTCTTTATGTAATGGAGTGATAGCACACACTTTTGTGTAGATAAGAAACCAGTTAAGAAGAAAGTATGTGTGTAGTCTACCATGTTAATTCTAGTCACAGGATTTGTCAAGTTCCCCCATAGCATTTGAAATTCTATGGTCCTAGAAATCTTAAATTTCTTTTTATGGATATCTACAGTGGTTCCTGTATTAGATCTACATTGTTTCTAATTTGGGAACTGGGAGACATCTTAGAAAGGACTACTTCTTATTTATTTTATTTTGGATACTGAAAATAGCATAGTGCTCATCTCTTTCACTCACAATACCTAGAAGTATAAGTCTGTAAACCTGAGAGGAGAATCTAGATTATGGACGAGAAAATAATATAAATAGTACATACCATATTTTTTTGACTATAAGACGCATCTAGATTTAGAGGAAGAAAACAATTTAAAAATAGTTTCTGGCCTCTGGGCATTCAGTTTTCGCCCTCTCCGGGCCCCAGAAGCACTTTGCAGGCCAAAAACAAGCCCATTTTTGGTCTCCTGAACCCTCCATGCATCCTGTTTTTGCCAAAAACGTGCCCATTTTTTGCAAAAACGTGCCGGGTTTCAGTGAAAACAAGACGTGCAGAGCACTGCAGAGTGCTTCTGGGTGTCAGGGTTAAAAGTAACACACCCAAATGGGGATGGGGGAGGACAAAAATGCGACATGCGGGGGGTTAAGGTGAAAATGCGTCCATTTTTTGCAAAAATGGGATGTGTGGAGCACTGCAGAGTATTTCTGGGGGCCAGTGAGGGTGAAAACGTGACACACAGAAGGTTCGGGAGGCCAAAAACTTGCCTTTTTTCAGCAAAAAACGGGACGTGCGGAGCACTGCAGAGTGCTTCTGGGGGCCGGGAAGCATGAAAACACGATGTGCAGAGGGTTCAAGAAGCCAAAAACAGGTCCGTATTTGATCTATAGGACACACAGAAATTTTCACCCACTTTTGGGTGGGAGTGTGTCTTATACTCCAAAAAATATGGTATGTTATTCAAATTTATATGCATATGTGTTATTAAAAATAAGGACTAGTTTTAGCAATGGATTCATCAGAATGCTACATCCTGATTAGCAACCCTAGGCTGCCCAATGGTATTTGAAAGCACATCCTGGATGCTTCACAGTTCAAAAAGAAATAATAAACACTTTAAAGAATCATTCTGATCACATAAAATCACACATTTAGAGAAGTTTCAGCATGAATTGTTGTAGCTTTTGGCATTCTTATACAAGACATCAGGGAATTGCTAACATCATGTGGGTATGATGAAATGCATGTGAAATTTGGATGAATGTGAGATAACCAACAACCAGCGTACAAGATTGTACAGTTGTGTTCATAGGCTGACAAAGTATCTGAATGTCCTTAGATAAAGATAAGGCACAGAAAAAGCAGATTTGTCTTGCATGGAGTCTAAGCACATACATGATTACTTGGAATAAATCTTTCATTAAAAGCATATTATCAAGTGAATTGCTGTACTGTCATAATGTTCATGTTCAATTGTCTGATCAAATGTGATATAACAAACTTGAGGATTGTTCAAAAGAAGATTTGACAATTAGTTAGGTAGGGCTTTGTCACATGACAGAATGTTCATTTTTGTTCTTCCACCCATTTTTTTCATTGCCTCTCAGTGACAACTTTTTTTTTATCCATTAAAATCCTTGGGTTATTTAATGGATGCTGTACTTGGATGAAAAGTATCAGTTGATCATTTTAAATAATAAAGTATAAGTTCAGTGGACTGCCCTTGTATGGGAGGCCTAAACCAACTGAGTTGCATACTATTTTTGCATATGTAGATCTAGTAGGTTAGTCTTTTAATATGTGGACTAAGCACAGAGGTTTAGATTCTATGCATGTATCTCTGAATTTACAACAATTACAAGAGCAGGTTAGTAGTCTTCTACTTATTGCTTCTGTTTATCATCTGACTGATCATTGCAAGAAAGACTATTGATTTAGCTAGGGCTTGGTTTTGATCCCACACAGCTCTTCTAGCCCTTAAGAAGAAATGTACATTCTCTTCAATCTCATTCTTACATTGATAGTAATCATTTATACTTCTGAAGCAAATGTGAATAATCCCAACATTCAAACTTTTTGATAAACTCTGTTCATTGCATAACAATCTGATACTCATAACACAATGATAGGGAAATTATGAAGAAATTCTATTGTTCAGATAGTAACTTTCTCACTTTTGTGAGCATCTTACATTTTTCAAATGATTTTACTTTTCCTAGTCTAATCTAGTATAAAAGTTTTACTGTTACAGTTTGTGTGTGGCCAGGCAATGGCATATGGAAAACATGTTTCCTGCTATTTAATTTAATTACTCCAATCATGTGCCAGCCCCAGGCATGTCATTCTGGACCTGTGAGGCTCTTTGTCTGTCAAAGAGATGGACAATATCTTGGCTTTGTTTAGTTGCTCTGGAGGCTGTGGATAAAAAACACTGAAATACCGACTGTTTGTTTAACCAAAGTTTGCATTTTTTGCCATTTGGCTTTGATTTCTTTTTGTTTTCCAGCAAGGAAAGGAAAGGACAGGACATTTTGGCCTTGCTGAGCTAAAAGGGAAACATAAGGATAAGAAGATGAACTGTCACATTTCTGAGGTTTGCTATATGAAAATGTGTTCTGGTTAGAAATGAGCTTTGTTAGCAGAAATTAAAGACATGAATCACGGTTTATTTTAGACTTCCCTGCTAGCGTGGCACAAATGGAACAAAAACATTAAAAAAAGAGAGAGGGAGAGAGAAGTGGGATCTATTATAATTGTTTCCTTATAATGAACTAAGTTTTGAATATTTTTTGGTGGTTTGGGAATACTATTTCATTTGTGGCATCATCTTTAATGGGCAAAATAATAAAGACAGAGAGAGAGAGAGAGCTTTGAACTAATCTACAGGCATAGAGGAAAGTGCCTATATTTTTTGATTGATTGATTGATTGATAGCAGCTCTTCCAAGTTTAAAATGATTTCCATGGGGACTGAACCTGGAACCTTTTGTATCACTCCATTATTGACCATTGTCTTTCACCTAATAAAGGAAATCAGGCCTTACTGAAAAGTTTAATATTAAAATAACTTGCATGATATATGTGAACAGGAGTAAAGCAGAGCTGAAAGTTCTGAACTTTTACTTTTACTCACTTATGGAGTAGGTGCAAAGAAGACTCCTATGCAAAAATTCTTGTGCATAGTCTTTTCTAGCAAAGCTAGAAAAAAGCTTGCTAGAAAAATACAAGCAAAACTATGAATGTTAGACATACTTGTAATTTCCATTAATTCCAATAGTATGTTGGAATTCAATTTTCTTTGAACTTTTTAAATTTAATTTCTCCGTTCAGTTGGAGATATATGATAAAGTGCATATTGAATGATTGTCATTATTTCATCCTGCTTAGATATGTTATATGTTATGTTATGAATAATCTACCAGAATTACTTATTAATAGGAGGTAGGCAAAGCTGTCTATAGAATCCAACAATTTTGCCACAATGACTAACTAAGCATCACAAGATTGAAATGCAAGCAATGGCCTTTATATACAGGTAATCCATGATTTACAACCACAATGGAGCCCAACATTTTTGTTGTTAAGTGAAACACTTGTTAAGCAAGTTTTGCTCTATTTTATGACCTTTCCTCTTACAGTTATTAAGTGAATCACTGTAGTTGATAAGTTAGTGACCCAGTCGTTAAATGAATCTGATTTCTCCATTGACTTTACTTGTTAGAAGGTCAGAAAAGGGGATCACATGACCTTGGGACACAGCAATGGTCATAAATATGGACCCGTTGCCAAGCATCTGAATGTTGTTCACATGATTATGGGGTTGCTGCAAAGTTCGTAACTGAAAAACAGTCATAAATCAATGTTTTCAGTGCCATTGTAACTTTGAATGGTCGCCAAATAAATTGTTATAAATCAAGGACAACATGTAATATGATATTGAAATGTGCATAGCACTGTATAATATGACATTTTTTTGTTATTTAACCTCTCTTGCGTCTCTTTCATGAAAATGTGTCAGCAGATGAGGAAAGGGTCATGTCCAAGGTGATTATAGAGGGCAATCAGTCAAGAAATCCTCCCACCGACCAGTTCGTTCTCACAGGGAGGGACTACTCAGGGTACCGTCAGTCAAATTATGTCGACTGGCGACTCCCAGGGGGAGGGCCTTCTCTGTGGGGGCTCCAACCCTTTGGAATGAACTGCCCCCGGAGATACGGAATATCCCTGATCTCCGTGCTTTCCGCCGTGCCCTCAAGACCCTGATGTTCCAACAGGCGGGGCTAAACATACGAACATGTGAATGATTTTTTAAATGCTATCTAATTCTGGGTTTTATTTGATTGACCAAACTAAGTAATAATTTTAAGTAGCAATTTTATGATGTTTGTGTGTCTATATTTTTCTTGACTGTACACCGCCTTGAGTCCTACGGGAGAAAGGCGGTATAGAAATATAATAAATAAATAAATAAATAAATAAGAAATGCCTTAATTTGGAAGTTGGATGTATTGCTCTAGATGATTCTTTTAAGTCCATATTATTCTAAACTCCAGAACTATAGGATTTGTAAAACATTGAGGAAGGAAATTAGGTATAGTATATTGTCTAATGTGCCATGTCCTTCATCTAATTTAAAAAGCAAGATGTTCAAGTGTAAATCAATGCAGGTAGTCCTCGACTTACAACAAGTCCTTTAATGACCATTTAAAGTTACAACGGGAAAAAGTGACTTATGACTATTTTTCACATTTATGACTTTTGCAACATCCCCAGGGTCATGTGATCAAAATTCATATGTTTGGCAACTGACTAATATTTATGACAGTCCCAGGGTCATGTGATCACCTTTTGCAACTTTCTGACAAGCAAAGTCAATGGGGAAGCCAGATTCACTTAACAATCATGTTACTAATTTAACACTGCAATGATTCACTTAATAACTATGTCAAGAAAGGTTGTAAAATGGAGCAAAACTCATTTGATAAATATCTCACAACATACATCTTGTACTTAATTGTGCTCATAAGTTGAGGACTACCTATAGTGAGATGAGCATATCAATTAAATAAATAAATTTCAACTCTTTTGCAAGACCAATTTGAAAAGGCAGGCAGGCAGGCAGGCAGGCAGGAAGGAAGGAATTAACTAGAGGGGGAGGGGAGAGAAAGGGTGCTTATGGCTAATTTTGGTTCTGTTCATTTTCAGAAACAAAAACAAAAATATTCCATTACTTATTTACTCCCAAACTCTCTGAAAGATGTACCTTCACTACCCAAAATAGAAATGAAGTTGAAAAGAGCAAAGAAGCATGGAATAGTCAAGCCCTCGTAATCTCCCGTCCGGACTACTGTAATGCTCTCTACATGCACTCTCCGAGTGCTCCCTTTGAAGAGCACTCGGAGGCTCCAACTGGTCCAGAATGCGGCCGCGCAGGTGATTATGGGAGCGACACGGCGCACCCATGTAACACCTCTCCTGCGTGAGCTACACTGGCTCCCGGTCGTCTTCTGGGTGCAATTCAAGGTGTTGGTTACCATCTTTAAAGCACTCCATGGCTTAGGACCTGGGTACTTACGAGATCGCCTTCTGCTACCAATAGTCTCCCACCGGCCAATACGTTCCCACAGAGAGGGACTCCTCAGGGTGCTGTCGGTCAAACAATGTCGACTGGCGACCCCCAGGGCGAGAGCCTTCTCTGTGGGGCACCTGCCCTCTGGAATGAATTGCCCCCGGAGATACAGATGATCCCTGACCTATGCACTTTTCGCTGTGCCCTCCAGATCTTATTGTTTCAACAAGCTGGGCTGGCCTAAACATGAATTTTAATGGTTGTTTTAGTTTTTTAATAAGACAGGGGCCAAATTATTTAATATATTTTTAAATTGCTTTTAAATTTTTTATATCTATGTGTTTTAGTGTTGGCTGTGCACTACCCTGAGTCCTTCGGGAGAAGGGCGGTATAAAAATTTTAATCATCATCATCATCATCATCATCATCTTGCTACGATCTGAGGAATAAGGAGATTGCGGTAGTAATTGAAGAGCTGAAGCAGAGGGTTGTTGCCATCGCTGAAAAGATTAAAAGGTATGAAAACCAAGTATCTCAGTTCAAGGAAAACTCACAGTTCAGAGAAAATCAGCACCAGTTTTATAAGAATTTAGAAAATGGAGACAGAGTAACAACAAATGAAAAGCCTGATAAAGAGAAAGCTCTGAAATTTTGGAAGAATTTGTGGAAAAACAACAAGAAGCACAGCAGAAATGCAAAATGGATCAAACAGGTTGAGGACTCTATTAAAGTGCATAAAATGGAAGATGTGAAAATAACAAAAGCAATGGTGCAAAGACAGTCAAGAAAAGTGAAGAACTGGAGTGCACCTGGACCGGATGAGCTGCATGGCTTCTGGTTAAAGGCACTTACAAGTCTGCACATTGGCAACCAAGATGAACCAGATCCTAAAAACACCTGAAAATGATGAATTGATGACAACTGGAAGGACATTTTTGATCCAAAAAGATAAAGAAAAAGGAAAGGACCCTGGAACCTATAGGCCAATCACCTCTTTGCCAACAACATACAAGCTTCTTACTGGTATCATTGCAAACCAAATCTGTGGATACCTGGAAAGAAATAACTTGCTTCCTGTAGAACAGAAAGGATGCTGCAAAAACTCAAGAGGAACAAAGGATCAATTGCTGATTGACAAGCTAATCCTAAAGAACTCAAAGAAAAGACGAACCAACCTATTCATGGCTTGGATAGACTATAAGAAAGCGTTTGATTCAGTTCCCCATAGCTGGATCAAGAAATGCCTGGAAATCTTAGGCATCAGCAGCAACATACAAAAATTCATGGAATCTTCAATGAACCTCTGGAAAACAAAATTTATGGCTAATAAAGAAGAACTGGGTGAAGTTGAAATTAAACGAGGCATTTTCCAGGGCGATTCCCTTTCACCCCTACTTTTTATACTCTCAATGCTACCACTGACAATCATTTTGAAGAAGATGAACTGTGGATACGAACTTGCAAAGAAAGGACTGAAAATCTCGTACTTGATGTACATGGATGATTTGAAGCTGTTTGGTAAAACAAAAGCTGAACTGAATTTATTAATTGAAAACAGAAAAGAATTCAGCCAAGGCATTGGTATGCAGTTTGGAATTGACAAATGTGCAACAATAGCAACCAAAGCAGGCAAGATCATAGAAGAGGATGGAATAGAACTAGAGAACGAAGAAATGATAAAGGCAGTAAAATCAGAAGGCGGCTACAAGTACTTGGGGATTTTAGAAGCCTCTGACTTAATGCATAATAAAGTCAAGGAATTAACTTCAGCCAAGTACATTCGGCGAATTCGTAAGATATTAATGTCCAAATTGAGGAGGAAACATCATAAAAGCCATAAATACCTGGGCTATACCTGTGATTAGATACTCTGCAGGAATAATTGACTGGACCCAGATGGAGTTAGACAATTTGGACAGAAAAACAAGGAAGCTTATGACAATGAATCATGCCTTGCACCCTAAAAGTGATGTTGACCGATTATATTTACCAAGAGCAGAGGATGGTCGAGCACTCCTACAAGTA